CGATGGGTCGGCGAGCTTCGCTCGCCTCTTTGCCAGCTGACATACAGGATCTTACAAAATCCCTACACACTCCCCCACCAGCGTGAGCCATCACGCGAAAATCAGCATGAATAGCCCACGACAGTGCGGGGCATATGGTGGTGAGACGTCTGCATGCTCTGGCAGCTAAGGTGTGCGTGGAAGATAAGCCGGAACTTGCCAGGTAGGGCCCAAAACGCGTCGCGTCGCGTCGACGCGTCCTGTTTCCTGCGTCCATTTCGATACGTGTGCATGCGCAGCGTGTTGGCTAGTAATAGCCACCATCACTTTGAGCTGCACCCTCGGATCCCGTCTGCGACGCTCCTTCATCGTACTCGTCGTCGGATTGCGCTGACTGCTGGTCTTCGTTGAGGTCAGTGCCTTTGGCTGACTGGTTCTCTTCGGTGCGAATTTCTGAGTCCGATCCGTCCTCGTCGTCTTGCTCAGACGTATAAGGCGACTCGTCTTGACTTTCCTGACTAATACTTTCAGTGTAGCTGTCCGATTCGTCTTCATCGCCTGAAGACTGACTACGCCGAGAGCCCGACGCCGCATCCAGATCGGTTTCATCCTCGCCGTGTGCGAGCGATTTCTCTCGAGCAGATGACCGGCGACTGCTGGCACTTTGAGCATCACCATCTAGGTCATGCTCATCACCGGTCAAGTCGTCTTCTTCTCCCGTGTCGCGATCTACCTCGCTCTCTGAGAGACTCATGCCTGTCTCGTCAGAGAGGTAGATGTCCTGCGAGCCCAGTTCGGACCCCGATTCTTCGAGATCGGCTCGAGCACTGGACTTCTCGCTGCTTGAAGCATACCCGGCACCACCAGCGGCGCCAACGAGTCCGTAATCGACGTCATCGAAGTCTACTTGACTTCGATACATCGATCCTTCTCCCGTGTAGGTACGTATCGGGCTCACGGAGAAGACTCGTCTCCTGAAGGGGCTCACAGTCAGCCGTGATCGATCCAACGATCGATTATAGCTGCGCTGAGGCGTACGCGGTACGTACAGCGGGCTGAGAATGCTCATTCTAGCACGGTACGGTAATACCGGTGCACGAATGGCATTCTTACCTTGCCATGACTCTGTTTCGTGACGACGCCCGGTGCCACCGCGAGGTGGCTCA